GAAAACAGCCTCGCCCAACGTGGGGGCTGATCACGGGTAGCGCATCCGCATTCGCCGTGTGGGCTGTCCCTGCGAAATTGCAAGCGAATCCGGGCCCGAAGTGTGAACTGGTACGGTCTTTGGCCTTGCCGAGTGTGTGATGTCATTCTTTGGCGAGCGTTCGTCGACACTAGTAGGCGAAAAAACGTCGCCTGTATAGCGACGATGCATCGCGCACCGCCATCGGGTTGGCGCAGAACGGTCGGCGGCGCCATGGCTAGGCCAGCGACGATATCCGCGAAAACACAAGCTTGCGCAAACTTGTCTTCTAAATGGGCGGCTGCCCCGCCACGGCCAGTTTCCCGTCGCGCAGCGGCACTGTGCTTGTTCCCAAGCGGCGGGGTTGCTTGTAACTTGTGGTACTGAAGCAGGTACGTGGTGGTGTAAAACCTCTGCATCGAACTCGGGCGGCGCTTCCGTAGCCTGCGGCGCCGCGGAGCTGCCAGCAGCTGCGCCTCGCGAGAGGTATCGTCCCGCTTTGCACGCCCTGCTGTTCCACGCACGCAAGCAGAGTTTCCAAACTCTGCGCGGTCACACCGTCAGCCCGGCCTGCTGTACGAGCGCCGCATGCAAGTGAGGCAGTGCCTTTGCACCAGTGCGCCACGGACTGCGGCTCGTAGGACAGGTGGGGAAAGGTGGCACATTTTGCATCGCGGGCCTGCATGCAAACGTCGGACCTGCCTGCGGCGGCGGCGGCGTGATCTTCTTTGCCCGTGTCGCCGGTCATCTGCGGTTTCGGCCCGAAAGTACCGTGCACCTCACCGGCTGGCGTTTGCATCTCCGCTACGAGGGCTCCGCGACCGTCAGCGTCGAGCAAAGCGGCTGGAGCGGTGAGAAAGGCATCCGCCGTCGTGCACAATGGGGCCTCTGCGAGAAGTGCGGTAAGTTGTTCTGTGGCGCGCGACGCGCTGGGCTGGACTGCGTTGGCGTGAACCCTGGCGTCTGCGGCTTCGCCTGCTCGCATCGGTACACACACTGCTTCCTGAGGCGCGAGGTGTCGTGGGGTAAGCAAACGGCGCATGCGGGACACGGGCTCACTGTTGGCGGACCGTTGCACGCGCTCGCTGGCCCAGTGCGGGGCTGCCGGCGGCTCGCTGGTTCCACGGGCCATGCAGGGCGTGACGCTTACCCCTGCTCGTCGTCCGTTGTGCAGATAACGTAGGTCGGACTGGTGTCGGCTCCCTCCTTTGCCATCCTTGCCGTGCTTGCCCCTACGTCGTCTGCAGAATGCTGCTGTGCCGCCTTTGTGGGAGCGGCTGCACTGCGGCACCTGGTGAAGGCAGCTGCTCCTCCTCCGACGCCATGGCATGCAGGGCCGACACCTGGGAAGCGCCAGGAGGAGTGCGCAAAGCGGTGCAGGGTGCCTTTACCTCGCGCTGGCGTGCTGGCCAATGGAGAGGTGACCAGCGAAGTGGTGAGCAGGGACGCCAACAAGTCGTCGACATCGACCACATCGAGAAGGTCTAGACATGTCTAGACATGCGCAATCGCGCACTCTACTCATTCGTTCCGATATGCTGGTACGTATTCGCGTTCTTTGTCATTGCGCTCTCGCCACATCGCCTTGCCTCTTCACATTGTCGCCAACACGATGACCTGCCACACCCCTCATGGCAGTCTCCCACGTCCGGCCAAAATCTACCTTGCCCGCGCCACGTGGAGTAGCTCAAAGTCAGCCTCGAAAACACTGAAAACCCCGGATCGGATCGAAACCGTCAACAAATGACACTGCCATTGCAGGGTCCACGGTCGGAGAGCAGCAAGGGAGGAAAGCCGGGAGACAACCTTTGCAGACAACAGTCCAGATCGGAACAAGGACTCAACACACACGGGGTTTGAGACCTCCCCCCCTTCGAATTGCACAAAATCGCCTACACATCCTGATGCTAAGGGTGTCCCATGTCCACAGGTTTGGCTTACACTAGCCACTGTGGCAGGTGCAGAAGGGCTCCTGTGTCAGAAGCGCAGCGACCAGTTTGGAGTCGGACACCCTGAGCTCTGAGGCTCTGAGGTTCGGAAACTGGCGAACGTCCCGATTACTGCCTGGAATGGTGATACTTAGGCCGACTCGCATGTGACAGAAGTCGTTGGCCAGCTGCAGTTTCAAGGGCCGTTAACCTCTATGCACCGAAGCAACATCTGGACGCTTCTAGCAGATAGACATGAGATGTCTCGTGGCTGAGCTTGCAACTCCGTCGGCAGAGGATATCGCTGACCTTCGCAACGGGACTGCGGCGATCTGCAACAGTGCCCGAAAATACGTTCTGAGGTAGTTGCCATCTTTGGGCACCGACAGTCTCCTGTGCCTGCACGCTTCTGAAGCCAACCACCAAACACCACTTTTCGAGATTCTGCCTCGTAGCATCTCGGAGTGAGCGGTACAAACGCGAGCAGTAACCCCATGGCGAAATTGCACCTTTCACCATGAAAATAACTCTACGTCCTGGAGCAGCACAGGCAGAAGAGCTTACCTCTGCCACATTGGCATCGTTGCTACGAAAGACATGACTGGAGATGTGTTCTGCACCGGCCACCATCAAGAACTGCATGCCCACCTTATCCGTAACATGAGCTTCGAGAAAAGTCACTCAAAACCAAAGCATGGTGCAACACGGGCACTCAAAGCCTACGGTTCAGATTGCCTGCTGAAACCTAACTACTGATCTCTAAACCAGTGCAGAAGCCTTGCTCCAGAAATCAGCGATCACGTCAGGCTCCCAGTGGTGTAAGTGCTGGACAAGAACATGCATAACATGAGGTCTGCGTCCGATATTTTTTGTCTCCGTGGCGGCCCAGCGGCATGTTGAGGAAGGCTGTACAAATTGAGAGCGTAGGTCTCAGCTGCCGCCGGTTGCGCCCGGCTGCAACGGCTTGGGGTTCGCGTAGCAGTACAAGCAAGAGTGCGGGCCTGCAAGCCAAGAACGTGTCCAAAGACTGCGGCTCTTTGTGATAAGTTTAAGCAAAATGAGGCGGGGGCATTGGAGCTCGTACTGGCCGATCTCTCGACTCCCAGTGCAGTTGCACTGCTCGCGCTGGCCCCGATCTTTCTGGTGCGGGAAAGTCACCTTCAAACCCAAATCGCGGGCCAGGCGATCTGCCAGCCGAGCGTCCAGGCATCGTGACTCCCCGACCTCCCATGCCAGGCTCGCAAGCTTTCGAGCTCTTCGTGATGAAATCCCCTGCACTCGACTCCGGCCTCCGGGACCAGTGGGGCAGCGAGGAGCTCTTTCCCCTCCTTCCCGTCTTTCTTGTCCTTCTTGAGGCCCCATCGCCGCAGCTTCCTGACCTCAGGCACGGCGACCGGCGACGCCATGCGGTAGCCCACGAGCCCGGTGTCGCAGCAGCAGCGCAGCTCCACGTTGTTCAGCGCAGCTATGGGCAGCAAGCGGTCCAGCACCTCAGGGACAACTGCTCGTCTCAGACTTCGACATGATTGGCAAGAGGCAAGAGGTCGGACCGTGAGCAATCCAGCATGGCATGCTATCCACCTGTCGTTGCTGTGCATCCGACAGCGCTACCAGCTCTACGCCCGCCGCGAGCATATTTCGCACAGACTGCTTGTAAGGTTTGCAGAAGCTGAAGGTGATGTGACGAATCCCAAGGCTGCCAATGTGGCGCACGATCTGCTCAAAGTCTCGCAGGTTGTCGTGGACACCAAGACCCGGCAACCGCCGATAATGCACGATGGGGTCAAAGCGCACGTTTAGCGCATGGGGACCGAAGCGAGTGGCCTCAGGAGCGGTACTAGTAGCTGGCTTCCTGCTAACGGAATCCAAAAATTCATTTTGACAAATGCTTCCTGCAGCACACTGTGATGATCTTCCTTGCCCCTGACCCGCACACGCCCCTGCACATCGATCGACCCTAGCAACTGAAACTCGGCGCCGCACCAGCCAGGTTACCTGCTCAAGCCGCTCTTGCAGTTGTGCCGCCATACCGGGTTCCAGCACGAGATCATCGGAGTTCACCGTAAAGTTGAACATGTGCACCCGGTAGCTGTGGAGAATGCTGTCCTCCCGTTTGAACTCCTCAATCCACTTTGAATAATTCTTCGACCACCTCAGGTGATGTACAGTTGTAGGTGCCCCACTTGGCCAACTTCACAAAAACTCTGGACAGCTTGTGAACTTTCTGCGTTCAGCCACCAGCTAATGCAAAGCACACCTTTGCCAGAGGATTCATCATACGGCCTGAGGCACACCGGGTCCATCTGCCCAGTCACCTGATCCGAGATGATCCGGAGTGGTGCAACAGATGGGCACAGTGGCAGTGCAAGATTGATACCAGTATCTGTGCTGTTGTGCACGGAACGAATGTGCATGCGACATGTAGGATGTAGGTGTGCGTGCTGGAGCAGGCGAGTCACAGGGCTCCGCACGTACATGAAACCTTCGCGGAAGGCCTTCAGGTACTGCCGCAGAAATGCCCAGGGCACGTCTGTCCGCCTCGAGCACGACAAGATCAGGGGCGGGCGCTGCAAGGCCCGAGCACGGTCGGTCTCGGTAACCCGCGCAAACATCTTTGGCCCATCCTCCTGTGGTTGCTTCTTGGGTACCGCGAGGTCCTCAAGTTCCAGCCGGCAGGGACCTCCACCCTCCGGGATGTCTGCTAAGCAGGCGAGGTGAAGGTCTTCGATGTCCATGGCGCTTTGTCCACTGAGCCATGTTGCGACAGAAAGTTGCCAGGGAACATCAATTGTCACACGAGGCGAAAGGGACAGCAAAAGCATGCAGTTGATTGGGGGGACAACCTTATTGTGACCCACCCCACGGCCCACTCTTGCGACAGACATTGTGTGCAAGCATTGCAGATGGGAGCAATCCCATACTAGGGGATAGATGCTGTATAGATCTAGATCAGAGATAGGGGAACGCGTGGAACGGACTCACAGCTTCTTTTGCCGGCTTAGCGGTCTTAAGTTGCAAACAATTCCCTACAAACCTACAAGGAAACTGCGACTCTCAGTCGACCTCTATCAGCTCCTCAGAAGGCATAACGAGAGGACATCACGGGATTGGACCTGTAAACGCCTCTGTCTCCGCACTCGAGTGCTTCTGCTGCTCGCCTGATGTCCAATGAGCTCTGACTATGATGTCATAACATGTGTATGTATTTCTATATATATATGTATATAAATATGTATATGTAAAGTATGTTATATTGCATTATGTTGTATTAAGCTTTACTGTTCTATACCAGATTGCAGTATATGGTACTATAGTGTGTTAGATTAAATTACAGCATATAGTATATTATGTTGCTGTGTATTTTCGCATATTATATTTGATGATATATATCGTTATATTTTACGTGACATTATATCATCTTACACTATATTTTGTTGTTATACGGTAGTACATTTCTGTGATGGCATATTGTGTTATATGGTAAGATGTTAAACGATACTACATCATATAATCATATTGTTTTAACTATTTTTGAAATAAAATAGTACGATATATGTGTTATTGGGCTGTATATCCCTTTTTAATCTCATGTCATATGCTATGTTTTATGTTGTACTTATTACATGTTGCATGTTACAGAATCTATCTTCTATCTTATACCTTATCTCATATGTATGCCGTGCTTTTCTTTCAAAGAAACGTTTTGGCCTCCCTGCCTCCGGCAGCCTGGCCCTGGGCTGCCAGCAGCTCCTGTGCCGAGGGATTCGGCCACCCCGCCGAGATCGAGGTCCCTTCAAGGCAAGCGGTGGCCTCCTGGTACTTGTCCACCATTTCGCGAGGGAGGTAGATATCCTCGACGTTAACCTTTGTTGATTTGTGGAAGACAAGCAGAGGGTCGAAGAGACTCCAGCTGACCTGGTGGTCGTTGTAGCAGGTCAAGACCTCTGCAACATGCTCTGGTTCGCCATGTCCGCATACTACGCAAAGCGTGGTTTCAGCCTGGATGTCCTCCCCAGCGGACACGAAGCGAGGGGCATCGAGCCAGCGGATCAGTTGCTTCCAGCTCCTCTGCATAGACAACAGCCAATTCTTAGTGCCTTACCGCCCCGCTTGCCTCTGAGGGCTGCTTGGGTTGCTCGTCACCATCTTAGCACAGCAGCGGCAAGCAGCCCAATAGCCGCTCATAACCACTAATAAGCAACTTGGAGAGGAGACAAGAGGAAAACAGAGGCTGGGAGGAAGCAATGCCTTGAACTGAGGCCGCGCACATGACCGTTTCCGAGGTCTGCTGACCACCAGATGCCATATCCTCCAAACCCGCACTGCAAGCCGACGAACCTGCGACCCTCGTGTCGACTCTGGCAGTTCGGCCTGACAGCATGCCGCTGTGATCCACCTTGACCTGGATTGGAATGGCCAGGTGGCCAAGCCCAAGCTGGTGCGAGATGCGGCCACAGCCAGGACCCGCACGCTCGAGACCTTCGCCCGCAAGGCAGCCTTGCCACCTGCATCAATGAAATCTGCTTATGCTTTCCCTGCTAAGCCGGGACACCGCAACGCCGCAAGGCCGGGCCCATTCTGATGCAGAGCTTCACGTCGTTCTCCACGTTGGGCTCACCCTCGGCGGGCTGCGGTGGCACACAGGAAAGGTTCACCTCAGGGATCACATGGGCGTTGGCACCAAGAGTCGGCCCGGCCAGAGATGATGCACCATGTTACAGCACCGATAGCAGGCCAACAAGCCTCCATTGCAACGATGGGCTCATCGGTCAGGTACCGCCTCAGGCTGCGAATGCATCGCAAGCATGCTGTCGGGCGGCCGGCTCTGCCGGCTTGGACCACGGTCCGCGGCCGAGGAAACTGGTCTATCCTCACGGCCGAAAACCTTGGCGGCGATGCTCGGAGCAAGGGGCCCAGTGAGTACACTGAGCTCACTGAGCTAGGAGCTTGCTCTTGAAGTGCTGGCCGATCGCCTGCAGTCAGACGACGATTGCTCGTGGAGTAGCGCTGCTCAGAGCCCACTGCTATATTTCCGATCGCCTGCAGGTCAATTCCGCCGTTCTCCTTCTCGACCCTTGCGCACCAAGCTGCTACCAACCGCAAGCACGGCAGCACAGGCAGTTTGCAAATTGAGTCTCGAGGCTGGCCCCACAGTGAGAGTTCCAACGGTTGCACGAAGATCTGCAATCGTCCGGGCAGCATCCTGCAGAGAAGGAACTTGAGGACTCCAGCATGCTGGCAGTCGACTATTTCGGAAAGCAACTTCGGAAACAAGAAGGACCTGTGAAACGACATTACCAGCAATAAACCAATATTCGGTAAACACTGAGGACGCAATTCAGGAAAACCCTGGCGATAATAACACCAAAGCCCAAACCACCTGAACCCTTAACGCTCACCAAAACTGCCTCTCCGAATGCATCGGTTACCGGTTTACTGAGCCCAGGATTGCTTTCCAGAATCTCCGGCTGTTTTGCACGCACTCTTCCGGGACCCGAGCACGCCGGTCTCAGCCAGAAGCTTCTTGTGCGCATGGCGCATCGTGGGAATGATGCCTTCACCTAGAGCCAGCAGCGTACGACGAGCTTCGAGACGCATGGCTTCTATCCGAACTGTGCATCGCACCCAAGCACCAGAGGTCCATGACCTGCCCCCACTTTCAAGGCAGAGCAGCACAGCGTCACAGCGTCTTCAGGAGCGGCCCCCAGCTCTCCTTTGCGATACAAGACTTCCGACCGCCGAGACCCGACCCCCGGCCTCGGAGACGACCTCGAGCAGATGCGAGCACGAGCACGAGCACAAGAAGAGAAATAGAGAGAGCGCATTTGCCCTTTGCCCTCTTTTGCCGTCTCTTTTGCTTCTTCTTCTTCTTCTTCTTCTTCTCTTCGCGTCGCGGCTCACGTCTTCTTCGGGTCCCTCGCTATGTCGAACTTCTCCGCTACGTCCTCGCCGACCACAAGCCTGCTGGCCAGAGGCCACAGAACAACGGCACTGGCGCCTGCGGCTCCACTTGGGCAGATGCCTGGTTGACATCATCGGGGGAAGCAAGTTCACCATACCGCGCTTTTCGGTGATCAGTGCTGCATTGGCTGCCACCACCTCGCACGAAACCCCATCATCCCGCGTGATCCTGTGCTCTTGCTGCACATCTTTAGCCTCACGGCAGGTCTGGCGCATCAGGGGCACCTTGGCGGCATGTTTTCGAGTTGGATGCCACGGCTCCGGAAAGTTTCTGCCGTCCCGGGCAGCTTCACAAAGCCAAACTTCTGCACCCTCCAGCCTGAGCTGGATTGGACAAATCGCTCGAAGAGGTTCGATGATCGCTCGGGCTGCGAGCGCCGCCATCATGCCGAGTAGGCCTATGCCAGATCCTTTCGAGCTGAGACTGGAAGAGTCTCAATTCTCAAATCGCATCCCACGCCTGCGTCCAAGACCCGGGGTCGGCGGCCGAGCTTTTTCCGCTGGGACTGCACCTTGGCTTCAAAGGCACTCACCGCACTCGGAACGAGCTCTCCTTGAGCTCCGGGCTGCATCGCGAATCGCCCGCTGGTAAACCTCTTCAGTTGGATTTGCATTCGGCAGGTTTGCGCGTGGTTCAGCAGAAGCCTGAGCCCTCTCCATGTCTGTCATCATCAAAAAATGATAGGGCCTCCAGCTTTGCGTTTCTCCCCGGGTCTGACTCTTCAAAACTCTTGCGCTTCCGGTTTAGCTAAGGCCATAGCAGGATGGGCAGCGTCGCTGAGAATTTAGTGCTTGTCGGAGCCTGCACCCTGAAAGATGCTGAGATTGAATCTGCGGCTAAATCGTGTACGACTCATAGCTGCCGAGATGCCACATGGGCACCTCCACCGACATTGGGCCTCTCGTGTCAGGGGGATTGCCATTCCACAAAGTGAAGAGCCTGAACATGTCCAAAGATATCCTAGGCGGCCGAGAGCTGAAACATCTCAGCTCCCGTTTCCATCCTTTGTTAATTTGGGTTGTTCCTTCTTCCAAGCAAACATACGGGTACTTGACCCACAATCACAATGTGTTCCTGACCCTTCGCATTTCTTGATCGCCTAGCACTAACCTGGTTGTTGCGACATGTTGCGAAGATCCTCCACCCCATTTCGAGAGGGGTCCGAAGGGCGGTAGTTTTGGAATGTGTCTCTGCAATTGTTTCAACGACTGCACAAACGATTCGGCACACCAGCTTGCATCCCGAGAGGGGACACCAATCGATGTTTTGAGACTCGGCTGCGAAACAGCAATGCAGGTCCCAAGCACAAAACCAAGCGCTTCCTGCAGCCCGGCTCGGCTGGCTTGGACTTACTTGGACGACTCGCTCATGGTTGGGGGTCATAAGCGGAGTGCGAGGAAAGTCTTAAAGTCCCACACCAGCGAAGCTCTCATGTCGGACAGCTAGAGACACCTAACTGGAAATAGCGACTACTACAGAGTGGGGATCAAGAGACCGAAAGACCAAAGGATCGACGTTCAGGAAATCTAACTATTTGTGATGTGGTCCAGGACATTTCAGTTCGTGCCCGGCGCATGCCTTTAAGGCGACAAAAGTTCGACTTGCTAAGCACCAGACTTTCTTGCATCATGCGGAAGGTGAAGCGTGGGGTCACAGAGACCTGCAAGTCCTCCAGGCAAACAAGACAAAGCCCACTGAATGCGCACACAAGTGAGGCTTCGGCAATCACATCCCCTTGGAAGACGGACGTCTCACCTTGACACCGCCAAAGCCTCTTTGTTCCATCTGTGCCTGCTTGGCTTCCGAGCCTGCGAGGTAGTGGACCGCCTGCTTCCATTCAGAGTGCCCATGCCTCGCAGGAAACTCCAACCTCCCAATAAGGCCCAGTATTCAACAGACCCTGAGTTTGCGACGGGGGAGCGTCCCGGTTCTCCAGATCAGGGCGTGTTGAATACTCTTCGTCTCCGAACCTCAGAGACAGATCTCTGAACAATCAGCCTCAAGTACGTCCTTCCCTTCTGGGCTGGAGACTTTGCCACCCACCACACAGCGACACCTGTGGAACACTCCCGTCAGTGAAGCTTTCGCACGGCACCTTTCTGCTGCTGTGGCGCAATTGCAGCGACCGCGCTTGTCCGCTTGGAGCTTCATTGGCCTCCGGACCTGCGAGACGATGCCAGGACGGACGGCAATCAAAGCAGATGCATTGCGGCGTGCGCAGGGCCTCATCCAGAGTGATCTCGGGCGAACGGTCGAAATCAAAGCCGCAAAGCGTTTTCCTGACACATCGCATCATGAAGCAGCCTTGATGGTTCTCACATGCAGCAAGTGCTCACAGGTGCTGCCAGGGGACGCAGGCCCTAAGAGAGCACAGTTCGTGTTGGGCTGGCTGCCCATCCGTACCTGGCGCTCGATTGTTGTTGGTTTCCTCATTGCACCTTGGAACTGTCGGGTCGCGGACCGGCCACCACCAAAAGTCTGCTTTGTCGTTGGAGGATGTGTGACCTTGGCCAGCACAGATTCGCCATAGATCGGCATAGTGGGTAGTGACCCCACTTGACTTTGGCGTGCTGTGACCGCTGACCTGCGCCTAAGGTCGGCACGCAGAGTGTTGAAAGGTCGCAGGTCGAACTCCAAGAGCCTCTCTGATCTAATCTCCGCCTTGCAGGGAAGGGAATGCTTCGGGTGAGAGAGTAGAGCGACTGGAGCGTGGGCGCCCGGCGGGTGCTGCCAGCAGCTCCACGGTCTTCGGGAGGTGCCGGATGGATTTCGCCCCGCAGTTTCGCAACGCCTGCTGGAGATGAAAAGAGTTTGATGTCTCAAAAACTGCTTTGAGACTTGGAGTCTCTTGCAGTCTTGAGGCCTGGTGCACCGTGACACAGGCAGGCACGATGCCGTTAGACAGCAGGTCGTGTGCCATCCTTTCGTCCGTCCACTCATGCTGCAGCTTGTGCCGTGCTCCGTATTTGCCTCTCGGTGACCACACACACGGATGCTGCCTTAGGCAGCTTCCTCGGACAAGCAGGTGTCAAGCCCCGACTTCGAACAAAGTCGTTCCACAGTGCACCTCGAGATCGTGTCCCGGACAGCCTCTGCCTTGGATTCTGTCCCATCACAGGGTCCTACAGATTGCTGAGACAGGGCCCAGACGTTGTCCAAGCCTTCTTTAATGACCTCAAGTATTCACTTCTAGATGCTTCTCTCAGCAGCGCGCTTGCGTGCCGCCAAGGCGCAGCAACCGGAAAATTGAGCTTGTTGGCTTTCAGGAGGTGCTCTGCCACCTCGTCTACTTTAACACAGGTTATGAATGCGGTGCTGCCACGGGCTGCACATCTTTACAACAGTAGCTCGCCTCTGCCAGCTTGGTCGACCTGGTAGGGGATGATCTGAACCCTTTTTTGACAAACTCCCGTCCTATCCGTCCTATCCTGAAGCCCTCTGGGCACCCCAGCGTCTCGAGCAGGATCCCGTGGAAGCTGCGGGCGGCTTCCAGCAGCGGCAGGACCGAGCCAATCCCGAGCACAACCTCGGAGAAGTCGGAGAAATACGGAGATCCACCCTCGAAAATTTGCTTTTGCCGGGGCTCCAACCACGAAGACGTCCTGGGAGTCACAAAGCACGCTGAGCTAGCGGCTGACAGATGCAAAACGTCTGCCTTGTCCAAGCTGGTTAGGGCACGCTTGTAGAAGCTCTGCCTTTGCAGAACGGCAGTTTCCACGAGCAACGCTTATCAAAGATCATCTCTATGATTCTCGATAGCTGCCTTGGTCGGTCCAGCATCCCGGAGTGGAAGCTGCGGCCGAAGACCTACTTGGAAAGCGCCACTCCGCTCGTTTTTCTGTGGAGTTCATGCCGGTGCCTGGGCCAGGCTGTGCGCATGATCCTCTTCGGACTACTACCATTCTGAGCAAGCTTCGATCAAGAACAGAAGACTTGCTTCTAATCTGCTCGTTCAGTCCTCCTTCTTCTCTTCAGCATCTAGCAGCTTTAACAAGGAGAGGAGGCAATTCGTGCCACCTGCGGCGCTCATGCCCATGTTGGTAATGCGTACATTGTGTCTCTGTGTATGGGACTTAAGGTGATCACGTCCGAATCGGTGCATGGCAGTCGCAAGAAGAAGAAAAGCTTATCCAGCCTCCTCCCGCAGTGCTGCCCTGGAGGAAGTCAGGCACAGGAAGAACAGGTTTCTTCTTTGTTTTCCCCTCTGCCAAGTCCTCGCAACCAGCATCTCAATGTGGGAGTGGATGGAGTTAGAGAGCTACCTTGACCCTTGCTCCTTGACCCCCACGTCTGCTTCATCTTCCCTTCGCTGTGGAGCCTCCTCTTCATCCGAGTCGACCTAGTTGATACGAACTGCATCAAGAGCAACTTGCACAGATTCGCAAAGCCTAGCCACCACACGAAATCCGAAAACCTGGGTGGGGCACGATGTTGCTCCACTTTGAATAATCCAAAACCTGCGAACACATCACCCACCAAGACATTACGGCATTGAGCAGCATATTGCCTGCAAGAGGTACCACCCATGAGCTTCTGAGTCTTTGCAGCTCTTGCGGGTTTCAGGCCTTCGCCGTCTGACGCGATGGCGCTGGCTGCGATGGTTGCACAGGCTTTGCTGGCTGCGGCTGCGCGGGCTCTGCTGGCCGCCCAACCGCCGCGGCCGCTGCGATGCTGGCAGCCAACTTCGGGAATCGCCAGGTCAGGAGCCGACGAGCAAAGTCTACCTGGCAACCGCTATGCGGCAATACACAACACTGCCTGCCTCTCGACACTTGCCAGCGTCTTTAGGATGAATTGTGCTATCGAGTCTTCTCCGCAGCGCCTGTACAGACGTCAAAGCACCCCGCTGCTTCTCGCTGCCGTCTGCTTCCACCAGCAGCAGCTCTTGGAGACCCTGAAAGCTTTTATGGAGCAAGCGGAGCCCAAGCTTCTAGATCACCTGACTCCTGCCCAACTCTTCAACTCGAACTAGCCTTGCAACCACGAAAATGAAATTTCACTCCCCATCATCATGTGCCCGTTGGCCTCTGGGCGTGGGGTGAGATCGACCCACCGTCCGTCCGGGTGACAGTTCCACCAATACCGCTCTGCGACCTCATGTACCAAACACACAAAACAAACTACACAAAGAGTATGTTCCGATTAATTGCTGTTCACCTGCAGGCTCACTGAACCTTCCCCAACCCAGCAGGTGTTCTGGCCGGATTGAGCTTTCTTCATGTCGTAGTTATTCTGAGGGCCCCAGCGAAGCGTCCTGGCCGGTCGCCGCGCTCGTACACGGCCCAGCCACGCACGAGGCCCAGCCGCGATCTAGGAAGACGGCAATGCGTTCGGGTTTTACAACTTGTAGCACTCGCTCTCACCGATGACTCGGGTCGCAGCTTTGCTGACAGCTGCTCAGCATTGCTGAAGCTTTGCAGGGGATAGCACCTGAAGCCCAGAATCAACCCCCTTTCGCATGCAAGAGAACTCTGCACTATGGAGCCGACGTGACACCAGCAACCTGCACTCGTCAGCTCAGCACGCTCAACTTTCAGAGAGCGACAGCAATGAAGCCCGATCTTTCTTTCGCTCACCGGGCTGGAGTCGGGGGCAGAGGCTTCAGACGAGCCATGGAGGAAAATGCTCGGGCCATGATGTAGACCTTCTTCATCTGTCGAAGCCAATGTGCTAGTGTGACCTTCTTCCGAACAGATCTGCTTTGGTCGTCGTAAATGGGCTTGATCATTTCCATGCACTTCTCTTTCAGCTGCGGCACCTGGCCCAGTGCATCCACGATTTGGGCCGTACACATCTTGAGATTCTCGGGCACAGCCGGCTTGTTGGGCCCGATCTTCAGGTCCATGCGCCAGCGCCTCACGACACCGCAGAAGTCGACAACTACGCTGAAGCTGTCTGCCTTGAAGGCACGTGGCGTGTCCTTCGCAATCGTGCCAATACGCCCTGTGGTCTGATCGACCAGGATCCAGTCTGGGCCAGAAAGCTTCTCGAACCTGAGCGGTTCGAAGGGGCCGCCTGAGTGGTTATCATCTTCTGGGCCATCGTCCTTGCTTTCGTCCAAGATGTAAAGGCAATTCAAAAGGTCTCCAGCGCTTGCATCCAGAGCTGCCGCCAATGGTAATGGGATCACCGCTTGCTTCACGCACTGGATGACGACCATGGCTACCTGGTTCGCAGTCTGTCTTTGCCGGTGGAAGCCTGATAGCGCGAAGTCTCGGCTAGCAGCCTGAATTGGCTCGAAGAAGGCATTGCCGGACACTTGCCCTCTCACTCGCAGCATCTGATCCTGCATTTTGAAGCCGCTCACAGCCCTTTCGATTGCCTGATCCCGTAAAGCGTTCTTAAGCCAGGTCCTGCCATGGTCCACTTCCCCGACATGCCAATCCTCCATACACCGACACTCCTCTTGACAGAAGCCTGGAGGCATAGCTGGGCCATAACCAACGGGGTATTCTCCTTCATGTTTGGGCCACCCTTCTTTGATTTTCCCCTTCTCTTCCTCGCTGATCTCGGTCTTTAGCTCCTCCCGGAGCCCGTGAAGCACCTTGCGAGAAACATCTCGGAATTTTGCCTTTGCCGTTTCCGCCACATCGCCGTTTGCCATTCGCTTTATGCCACGGGCCTGTTCCTTGTTGGTGTCGTCGGTGAAGCTTGGATTTCGGGTGACCTTCTTCTCGCGCTCCTTCTGCCCCTCCAACCAGCGCTTCTTCGCTGAGATGCGTAGAGCATCCAGGTCGTCCGGCAAGCATTCGTCGGGTTCCCAGGTGCACTTTGGAAAGCCAGGCTCTCCTTGCGGGGTGTCTTCAAAGGACTCCATCTCCAACGGAGGGCTCCACTGCACCAGGTAGAAGTCTTGGTAGAGCCCGCACTTGGGATGGGCGAAGGCCTCCCAGGGCGGCAGGTACCTCTCCAGCCGGTCCACCTTGTACCAACCGGGCGGGGGTGGACTCTCAGCTTCTCTCAGGCTGTCATCTCGAAGTGGGCTTCGCCTGTGGGCCACGCTTCGGCCCTCCCGAGTGACGAAGCTGGGCCCTGTGACAGCAGCGTTCAGCAGACTCTTGCTGACGTACAGGCTGGCACTGATGTTTCTCTGCGACTTCTCCTTTAATATCACATCGAGTAATTCGGTAACCCAGGGGCAGCTGTTCTCGTTGTCATTCTGTCGCATCAGCTCATCAAGGACCAGGAGGCCCTCGTACCAAGGTAGGATCAGCCCAGCTTTCACCTTGATGCTTCCCATGCCCGTGGCACTGCGCTCCCTGACCAAGGCCGTGCCATCGAAGGCATCTGCGACGAAGACGGCCGGGGCCAACCTATAGGCCTTCTTGCCCCAGAGTCCCTTTTTCAGTCTGGCCTCGTGGGCTGCTGCGTTGTGGGGCAGGGCGGCAGCATCCCGCGTTGAGGGTTTCTCGTCATTCTTCCCGGTCTTCGGTGGGAACCAAATCCAGCAAGATTGGCCCTGGTCGGGAAGGAATGGATTCTTCTCCTTTTTCTGCGCCGCCATGGCGCGGCACTTCACACTGCCCTGTATTGCTCACTATTTGGGGCCGTGGCTTTAAAGGGTTTAGGAGAGAGCAGCTGTCAGTGATCCGGCAGCCAAGCTTCAAGTGCAGCTGCATGCAAATAATGAGTTGCGGATGCTGTGCAAGCAGCCTTGAGGCAAAGTCATGCTTGAGCCATAACCCGTCGTGTGTCAGCACCTGTAGCCGTAGCAGTTGTTCTGTGGGGGGAATAGGAGGCAGTGGCAGGAGGAGGAAGAGGAGGTGTTATCACTGTAGTTGTTGTTTTTGCTGCTGGTTTTCGTCGTAGCAGCAGCCGTGGTCGTAGACAACTGGCCTGCTCTGCGGGTGAGGGCGCGCCAGCCACTGCGACACGCTTGCCTCGAGCCAGCACCGAAGCTGGAGCTGAGGAGAAAGACGCAAGGCGAAAAGCTGTGGAAATGAGTTCCCTCGATTTCACAACTCGGTCCTGGTAAGCGACCACGCTTGCCTGAGCTGCACAGTTTGTGTCCCACAGTCTTCTCGATTGACAGCCATATGGGCCGGCCACCGATCAATGCCCTTAAGGCATCGCTCTGGTAGGCCGCAGGCCTCGGAGGCGAGGAACACGGAAGACACAAAGCGAGTGCGAGAGAGGGAGCGAGCCTGTCACACTGGCCTATCTAAGCACGAAATGATTGGGCCACTGCCAGTTGCTCGGAAAGCTAAGGGAACGGAGGTCGTCCTGGCACCGGAACCGCGCTGGTCCCACTAAAACACAATAACGCAGCACAGCGCCTCCTGTAGTTTGTCATCGCAGGATACAAAGTCCTTCGAGAAGCCAAGACAGGCCGAAGCGTCCAACAAGTGTGATTGCTGCAGCCCTTCCTCTAAATCCAGCCAGATGCCTTGGCTGCCCACATCAGGCAGCCCGTGCACCGTCTGCGTCATCGGGGAAGGGAACAATCCGGGTTCATGGTGGAGGAGCTGAGACTATGTGCTGCGCATGCTAAAACTTTTGTCATGCCGCTTGCCAGGCTTACTGTTTGCATGCAGAGGTCTTGATGTCCCACCACTTTGACTGACATGGCCCATGGTTTCTTTCTGTTTCTAGTACATCTAATTAATTTTGTTTCCCAAGTAGCGGTGGAGTCACCAACACACTTTCGGGCTGGCGATCTCTGTGAGTTCTGGGAGGCAGGTTGACAAGCTGTACTCTAAGCAGCAAAAGCTTGCCGATGAGCCGTCGGATGTGCCTGAAGATGCCCGCTGTCTCAACAAGCACTAAACATAGGCAGCCTCAGCCTGTCTTGACTTTTCTCGCTTCTGCCATCAGGGCTTCCCCAACCCCACACACCCCAATATTGCGGATGTTCACGAGCACATCCTTTCCCATAGATCTCAGGTCTACTCCATGCCGCCGAAGCCGAAAACCTCGGATGATGTGTGGCTACGGCTCCCAGGTAGAGACTCCAAGTTCAGCTCCGGACATCTTCCTCCTGGCACAAAGATGGCACTCCAGACGCTAACATAACTCTCTCATCTTCGATCCTCTTCGCGCCTCGAAGTCGGGCTCCGCTTGCGCCTGCGCGGCCTGCGCGGCCATCGCTTCTTCTTGGGCCTGCTCCACGGCCGCCTCACGCTGCCTGCACAGGCATTTGAGCCCAGAAAGCACTCCAGGCATGGGATCTCTGAGAAGCCTCTTCCGCTCGAGCGCTCGAGCACGATTCTCAGCAACCTGGTGTGCAAGACGCCGACACTGTCCGCCACCCTCCAGAAAGGTCTCAGCTGCAGGCACGCTTGGCAACTTCTGGGTCCAGACTGCTGACCTGTCATGGGCGAAACATCGATACTCTGACTATGCCTATGCTCAACCATCCTCGGCTGGCCTCCTCATTCTTTAGTTCTGAGGCCTACACAAACATCACGAAGGGAACTGCAAAAGATGCGACTTCAAGATGCTTGCCGGCCTGACTCGACGATTTCTTGTACCAAAGTCTGAGCCTGGTCTGGCTGCAGGCTGCACAAGAAAGCTGTGCCAGCGTCCAAGGAGGCGGACTTGTGCAGCTCTTCACGAGGATCGCAGTCCGGCTCCTGCCGGACCCGCCCAGCTGAAATAGGAGCATCACGCGGACTGAATGGTCTCCTTCTGCGCCAGAACTGTGCGGGATTTCCAGATCAAATCCTCAAAGTTGTCCTGAGGAAGATTTCACTGTTATTCCAGGCCTTCTGCTCCGAGAAGGCTCCTCGTAGGGATAGATCTCCCTGAACCACTTTTTGTATGCGGCCATCAGCACCTTACGCGTGCGTCAAAGGCCTCTCCTTCCGCGTTCTTAGCTCACTCCCTCTTCCGCTCCATGTAAGGAGCACCTTCAAATCCTCGAACTCGTGGCCTTCCCCCTTGAACTCCAGCTTGGCACAATCGCCGATGACCTCTCGGAACTCGCTTAGGCTCGAGGGCATGGAAAAACTGCATAAAACACCGCCCGAGATACGATCCTCCGGCCTTCTTCAGGCCAGCTTCCTGAAAGAAGTGCTCGAGCCTCTGGCCAGGCGTCAATGGCTTCGAAAGGTTTCGAGTGAGTTCTAGGCCTTGTACAATATCTATTTCACATGCGAGCAGCGCAAGCGCCAGCACTGAACCTTTGCGAGGCTCCGACGTCAGCTTTGGTTTTTTGGTCTTGCTGGGCGGCTGAACTGCCTGCCAGTTTTAACAGGCACATCATGCCGCAATTGCCTTGCATCTTCTCTTCCGGCCTCTTCTTTCACGTCTTCCATGTCGATGTCCTGCAGCTGATCTGCAGGAGACCGCTGACTTCGCGGAGCTTTGAACCGCCTCTGTGAGGCCGAGCATACCGCCATGAACCTCAAACCCAAGACGTCTTAGACATCTACAAATCCACCAACTGCACAAACTGAGTTTGCTGAGCTGCACGCGGATGGGCCCCGACCGGCTGAAATAGTCGCCATGGCTACAGCTACCGAACCCACACGGTCGAAACAAACACACTCGAACTTCTTCACCTCTCGAGCGTTGCTAAAGCTTTGCATACTTGGTGGTGTAGCAAATCCATTACCAGGATGACCACCGACATGCTCTCAAGGCGAGCCTGGAAGCTTCACCAACACCGTTGTTTTTCACATGCTTCATCTATTCGGGGAAGTTACAGATCCATCCGCACTTCCGATGATCGGATTCAAGCTGTCCGCATGGCACAAACGCCCTTCCCATGGGCTGGCTTGCTTGCCTTACGCCAGAAATTCATGCCGGAAAACAGCAACCAGCTGCTTGAGTCTTCTCGGAATGGAACTCCAAGCCAAGTAACAAGCATGCCTTCCGAAAGTATGGAGTCACATGAATTTTGCTGCTTGCCACAGTCATCATCAATATCTGTTACACTCCACCTTGTTTTCAACGGTGGCTGCCTCTGCAGAACCACCGTGACTCGGAATTGGATCCGAAACTTTTCAATGGTATCGGTGCGGCTGTTGGAGTGATGAGCTCGTGTGGCCTGATGGAGTCATGGGATGTCGGATTTTCTTCGGTTATGTTTCTATCATCCACAGATCGCACATGCCTTGGCATCGACATGCTGAGACAGTCAGATCGGCTTGGTGTAGAAGAGAAATACTTCTTAGACTACAACCTTCCTCCTCCACTTGAGTTCCTTCTTGGCCCAAAATTAACAATAAATTCCCAATCCAATTTTCCAATCTACGAAAACCTCCACATATACATGTTTGGACTTGACTTGACAAGTAAAGTTCGCAAGAATTTAGTTGAACGCCTATAAGACAGTGTTGCGGCTTGTAGACTTGGTCGACAAAAGCCGTTCAAGACGCCAGGCAACGGGCATTCTCCAGCCGTTCAGACGCAACAGTGGGTGTACACTCGCTGCCCAGCTGAGTGGGACAGTCCAAAATCACTGTTTTGACATTGCCAAACAAAAGAAAGAGTGGAGAGAGTGGTGGAAGCGGCAAGAAACATGACCAATCTCTTACGCAAGAAGCACGAAGATGGACAAGTCGGCTTTGAGGCAGTAGATTGATGCGGCAAGCGATTCAGTGCAAAAAAATTGATTCCGACCGTGCAAACTGAAGAAGCAAGACACAACGATTTTGCTTCCAAGCGGCAACGCAACGAAAGAAGTCTTAGAACCCACTAAGTCCTTCAGGTGCAATTTCTGGCAGTAAAATTCCCAAACGCACACTCCAAAAGATTGTTCCAGCGCCAGAACACAACGAATCAACGTTTAAGATGAATTCAAAGACATGAAATGCAGCCACTCAAGCTTACGAAACGCTGCGTGGGAGCAGAACAAGACCAAACCTCAAACAATCTCGACCCACACAACCAGTGATATAGGACCACTCTTCGCCCAGTGGCGTTTTCGAATTTTCGACGAATAAATACAGAAGTTGTCGTTGAAGATCTTGGAGTTCGCAACGGTCGATGTGTTCAGTGCGGCGTATGGTGCTTTGTGTTGAAATGAGCAGCAACCAACACCCGAATATCGGCCCCAATGAGCTTTAGAACCTGGATCTCGATCCAAACCACTTGGGAATTCTTATGTCTAATACGTGGAAATGTCTTAAGTTGGCATCTTCACTTGATTTTTGTTGGCGTCGGCGGGCCTCGTTGGCTGCAACATCGGTTCCAGTAAAGAAGCGAACGAGGCAACGTATATTCAGAAACCAAAAAAGAGATCTCAGCGACTCAGCAAAGGCGACAGTGGATCGGCATCCAAAGCCACCTAAGACAGCGAGTAGAGCCCAAATCCAATGCTCCAGCAGCCGTTCTTGTCCGACACAGACAACCCTCATGTCTTGTTTCTTTGCGAGTCGTGCTGCACACCAAAATCCAAAGTCCAAGACATGTGCCAATGGAGGCAAAGGATGGGAAAGCCAGTCAAAGTGGGCTCACCGCCTTAACCGTTCACCTTCAACTCCAAACCCAAACCGTACAAAGCGAAAAATAAAGAAAAAGAACGCAAAGACGCAGAGAGTTTGCAATTTGCAAAAAGCGTGAAGTTGGAAGGCAGTCTCCCCTCCATTTTTCATGTCTTCTTCGATTCTGTTTTATTCGCGTCCTCCAAAGCGATTTCGTGGATTCTGTGAGGGCCCCAGATCCAGAAACTCCGAAATGCGTAAAGAAGATGTTCCTGATTTCGACCCCTGCCAGACCTTGGAAGATCGAATGCGGCGACTCCGCTTGCAAAAGAAGAAGCGAAAGCAGAAGAGACGTGCTGGCAGTCCAAAAAGGGCTGCTGATGCTGCCAACGGAGCGTAGTTTGCATAGCTGAACATCCTGTGTTGCTGTAACATGTTCTACTGGCCTCACAGCATTGTTTGATGGTCGGCTATGATTTTGTGGATGCAGTACGGTGCTTGCCGTAGAGCAAGCTTCGTGCTTCAAAGCATTGTTTTGTGATGCTCCGCTATGAGTTTGTCGTTGCAGCACGCCGCTTGCCAGTGGAGCAAGTCAAGTACCGTGCCTCGACACAAACCGTGAAGAAACACTCTGAAAGGCATTGCTGAAATGCTTCGCAGTCCTGACTGCCGCGCCCAAGCAGCGAAGCACGTGAGCGCTAGCCACACATGGCAAGCTGCAAAATTAATTAAAAGCTCGGGCTTGTCGGGACTGCTTCAAATCCAAGACGCAAGTGTCTGGAGGTTGCAAACATGAGCTCTTCTACTGCATGGCTCGGTGGTAGTTGCTGAAAGGAAATTCTACGGCTTCGCTTTGTGGTTCGCCAAAGTTTGCAAACTCTTGTGCCCAAAGCTTCGACAAGCTCAAGCTTCAGCAATCGAACCTCTCAGCCAATTAAAGAATTAAAGATTCACCTGCCCCGCCCGGATGGGCCTCGAATAACCATGTCGAGAAGACATTCTGCTGCTTTGACTCGGGGCCTCCATGGCGTCTGCTACTGTTTGCAGTTGGGGCCTCCAAGTCGGGAATTCAGGAAAGCTCAAGCAGTTTCAAGCGTCTGCTGCTTTCACTTGGGCCTGCAGGTGGCAGTTTCAGGCGTCTGCTGCTTTCACTTTCTGGATTTAGGGGCTTGGGTTTCAGGAAGCCTACAAGTCGGGAATTCAGGAAAGCTCTTAAGGACGTCTGCTGCTTTAACTTGGGGCCCAAGCAGTTTCAGGCGTCTGCTGCTTCCACTTGGACCTGCAAGTGGCGGTTTCAGGCGTCTGCTGCTTTCACTTGCTGGGTTTAGAGGCTTGTGTTTAAGGAAGCTGCGGATGGGTCACTTTGAAAGTTCCGGGCGACGCTTCAAACGCTTCATGCCGCAAGAACTCACGGCGAAATTGAACGCACCTCTGCAAGCCCGCGAAGCTTTCCAGTTTGAGCCGAAGACGAAACGCAAGCAAACGCCGGAAATGATATTGGCTGGCTTTACCATGTCACCACACGGCGTGCAGCATAGCACAACTTCGGTCCTGACGGTCAGCGTGCGTGCCGTTCCCAGCACAAACTCAAGGAGGAGCAAAACAATGCTTTGAGGCACGGTGCTTGCTCTATTGGCAGGCAGCGCACTGCAACCACAAATTTATGGTGGAGCATCACAAAACAATGCAAAAGCGTTTTGTTTCGTTTCAAAAGCTTTTTCCAATAAGAAGGAGAAAGCCTCACAAAGCTTTACAAGGGTTAAGAGCGATGAAAGCAAATGAATAACCTGGATCAAAACAAGCTTCCAACAGAAGCAGAAAGCCACATGAAGACGCTTTAGGGAATTAAAAGCAAGGAAACAGATTAACAAGAACAACAAACCTACACTGAATGAAACCCCCTTTCAAAGTCCTGCAAGCCTAAAAGCGTCTTCCAAGAAGAAGGAAAAAGCACACGAAGACCGAAAAGTAAAAAGCGAAGAAAATTAGGGAAACTCATCGTTATGAGAGCTCTTCAAGCCCAAAAGAGATAATTGAATCCAATTTCGGGAACGCAACCATGCATCAAAGGGGAGGTTCGGTTGAACTTGGGTTCCAAACTGTTCTTTCACAAAGAGCAAATACCTGGATTCCAGAACTTGGGTTTGAACAACTATTTATCACTACTTCGAAAGGCATTTCTGCTCGCCCCCCCCCCAAAGGCATTATTGGGTATGATTGGAATGCCTTCCCGCACCCGCCCACCTGGACTCTGGATAATTTTTGGCGTGGGCGGGCCTCGTCGACTACGGTTGTAGCACTCGGTCCCAGCAAAAAAGACTGTAAGCAAAAAGTGAATGAAAATGTACAGAAAGATCCTAATGGGTGAAACAGGTCGCGAAGTGCAGACTTAGCCAGCAGGGATCGTTCGACCTTCTAGGGTAGCGTCTCTCAGTTGGTTTTCTCCGAAGTGGCAGCCAGCATCAGGACATGAGCATCCCTGAAAAGACCCGGGCAACCAGGATGACCGGACGCACCAGCACCAACCAAGACGCCAAGATCCAGCTTCCCAAAGGCCGGCATCGCAAGGATCAATCAAGATCTGCAAAATGTTGGTGCGCCGCAATGACACAACAGAGCGTTGTGCGTTGTATCATGTCTAGCAGTCTGACCAGCATGTAGGCCCAGTGTAGACCTCGCAGAATGAGCGAACGGGCTGCAACGGCACACAATGACTCGTCCAACTTCCCAGAAGTGATTGCTCAATGCCGATGCAGGAGTCTTCTCCGGAGCGGCAGCCAGCAACACCAACACCAAACATGAGCATCCATGATTATATCCAGGGAGAGACGCCGAGCGCACTGTCTCCAATCAAGACGCCCCACTGGAGAATCCAGCTTCCCGGCATGTGGGTTTTGTGACTCAGGCGATCGAGGAGGTGGAGGACGGCCGACACCAATGACGGAGCTGACCGTTCCAAGGTTAAGAGACAGAGTGGCCACTGACCAGAGACAAAGGTTCCGCGACTGCGGTCAGGAAAGCCGTGAAGAAACCTCAAGGAAGGCGCTGAGCTCAGCAAAGTCAAGGGAAAGCTGGTTCGA